GGATGAGTTTGTGTCCTTTGTAGGGACATGGATGCAGCTGGAAATCATCATTCTCAGCAAACTATCACAAGAACAGAAAACCAAACACCGTATGTTCTCACTCATAGGTGGGAACTGAACAATGGGATCACTTGGACTCGGGAAGGGGAACATCACACACCGCGGCCTATTATGGGGAGTGGGGAGGGGGGAGGGATTGCACTGGGAGTTATACCTGATGTAAATGATGAGTTGATGGGTGCTGATGAGTTGGTGGGTGTAGCACACCAACATGGCACAAGTATACATATGTAACAAACCTGCACGTTATGCACATGTACCCTAGAACTTAAAGTATAAAAACAAACAAACAAACAAAAAAAACCAGTAGCATGACAAAAAAACAAACAAAACAAAACAAAAAATTTAGGCAACTCTATATGTCCTGCGGATTAAAAAAAAATACATCCACTTCATTTCTCACTACAAAATTTAAGAATTACCTCAGTTGTCTCCTTCCTCATGGAAAACATGGGCCTACGTATAGCTGTTTACAGTGTAACTACTATTAAAAATTTTCAAGTCTGATGAGGTTTATTACTAAGATTCTCACATTCAAAAATCATTAAATCTCATGACAGTATTTTGTAATATATAATAATGAAATAATGAAATCAATGAAATGGGAAAAAAATTTATATAAGATAACATTTAGAGGTCAGATTATGTGGTTTTATGTAACATCTGGGCTCTACTATTCAGTGTTTGAGGATTTTAAAGAAAACAGAAAACTCCCCACCACAATAAACAGCTGAATAATGCTTCCAACTTAATCTGTGCAAGCAACCAGCAGCTAGTTTATTACGAATTATAACCTAGAAGCAGAGACTCAGTATAAACATTGCTCTTAACAGTTCAATTTACCTGTTGATTAACCTAGACTATTTAATTTTCATTAATGTCTGAAACATTAGAAGATGAGAGGTAGAATATTCCAGCATGATCTCTAGAAATTTGGCAAAAATGCTTCAAGAAAGTAAATAAATACATATGTATGTCTTAAAGATGATTTTCTAAAACATTTCAAAGTTACAGTGTTTGTTAATGAGCAATGAAAATAAATGTAACACTAAAGAAAGGAGATTTCTACATTGGCACCAAAATGAGAGCATTTCAACCATGCCTGATTTACACATCACCAGTAGTAGTATTACCTGCTCAGATCTGTTCTGATGTTGATATTGGTATTGAGCAAAGGTATTATGGGAAGAAGTAATTTCATCCTCAAATTGTTTCTTCACCTTGGCCAAACCACCAGGCACTGTGCACATTTCTGATTCTTCCATCATCTAGGATGATTTAAGAAAAAGGAAAATTCAGCTTTACAGCTGTGCAGGATGGGATTCTCAAGCTATTTTTAAAATAGTTGACATTTATTGATAGGCAGTATCTTAAAAAGATATTCACATACACCATTATTTCAGTATGCCTTTAACAAAAGCTTAATAAACATATTCTTTCTGGGTTGTTTTCTCATTTATCAGTCTTTTGATATAAAGTCAGAAGAATCTTCAAAGTATTGAGTTAATTCTCCTAATCTCAGATAAATTTTGATGTCTGCAGATAAGACCTATTAGATTGCACAGTATTTCTCCTGTAATATACAGACTAGTGGATATTAGAATAATGGACTCAATTTGAACCCACAATGAAGTTGTCATTAAAATCCCAAACATCTATATAGGGAACACATTATTAAGAATAATTTTAAAATCATTTTTACTCCAAATTTTTTAAATTATTAAGGATGAACAAAATAGCCTCAGAATATTCCTTATGTAAAAATATTAATATGAGTAATGAGACTACTTAAGTGATTTTGTATGTATTAAATGACATATTTTGTCATTTAATGCTTCTCCATATTCTGTGAGATATGGACACCTATTACCCACATTTTAAAATAAGGAAATTGAGACTTAGAGAAGTAAGACAGCTTATTACGTTCTCACAGCTAGAACAGAAGTGCTGGCACTGGAATTTCAATCCATATCTGTCTGTCTTCATCACTGGCCTCAAAGAATAGGCAGAAAACCAGCAGTTATACTACTCCAGGATTAGCACACCCCAGGCATCAGCTCTGAGCACTGGCATGTCAGAATCAGGGGACTTTCACATTAGAAGCGTTCTAGTCTACCACTGTCATTTCACAAATGAAAAAACTAATTTCGATAGGTATCATTGGAAGCAATTTGAAAAGCACCTTAGTAGTCCTGTAAGACCTATGCCCCTTCAGGAAGTGCAGAAGTAGCTCAGGCGCATTGGTTTTGATGATTCAGCACACTCCAGAGCCCAGCAGGCAGTCAAGCCCAGATGGGATAACTCTCAAGCAAACAGGCCCCATGCCAGCCTTCCCTCCTCCAGGAAGATTCTAGGTCTCCTTGCAACTGGAAGACTTGGCAACACTTCAAGTAAGAGCAGGTCTCCTGAGGTCTGACCCAGTCCTGACATAACCCTCAATGCCTTAAGATGTCGAAAGTAACTGAGGGCCCAGGAGCTGAGAGGTTTCCATACCGAGGACTGGGGACTTTGGGGTCCTGGATATTTACCCAAATAAGTAGTTTTTCAAATAGATATTAAAAACGCAGTGCCTATCTAGAGGTTTGGGTTTCCCGTACTCCAGAATATTATAAACGAATATTCAGGATTATCTAAATTACTAGCAAATACTCAAGTGGTTGCTTTACTAAGTTAATAATGTTTCCTCATTTATGTGGACTATCAAATATTTCAGAATATGCCTGCTGGCCCTTTGAGAAGAGACGATTGTACTCTTCTATGAACTAGGTATATATTGTATCAAATTTTCCAACAAACTTCAAATGTAAATCCTAATCAATTACTTCTAGTTGATGTATGTTAAGGTCATAAAAATGTACAGCACCCCTTTTGAAATTTAAGATACAGAGAGAAGCGGGAAGGATGAATTAAGGCCACAATATTTATTTTACCCCTTCTGCCATTTAATTTATATAAGTGGCTTTCCTGGATAAATTATATATAGATAATATATAAGTATTAAATTATAGACATTAAGGTAATTATTAAGAAGAACCTTGCTGTTTCAAACAACTATTACGATGTCCCAATCATGTGCAAATTAATCTGGCAAGCCTTAGTATTATGCTTACAACTGGATGCTCTCCTGGTAAGTGCATTTTCACAAAAAGATCAATTCTTATGCTGGACAGGTTGCCTCTCATCTATAAAATGGATTAAAAAACAGATATAGCAGCCTGGTGCGGTGTCTCACACCTGTAATCCTAGTACTTTGGGAGGCCAAAGTGGGCGGATCACAAGGTCAGGAGTTTGAGACAAGGCTGGTCAACATGTGGGAAACTCCATCTCTACTAAAAAAGTACAAAAATTAGCCGGGCATGGTGGCACATGCCTGTAATTCCAGCTACTTGGGAGGCTGAGGCAGGAGAATTGCCTGAATCTAGGAGGCAGAGGTTGCAATGAGCCGAGATTGTGCCACTGCACTCCAGCCTGGGCAACAGAGCAAGACTCTGTCTCAAAAAAACAAAACAAAACAAATACACCCATTACTTTCCTTTAGCACTGCACTTTAGAAACAGACTATATTACACAAGGAAAAATTCATACAGTTGATTTTTCTTTTTTTTTTTTTTTTTTTTGGAGATGGAGTCTTCTCACTCAGCAGTCCAGGCTGGAGTGCAGTGGCACGATCTCGGCTAACTGCAACCACCCTCTCCTGGGTTCAAGCGATTCTCCCGTCTCAGCCTCCCTAGTAGCTGGGATTACTGGCACCTGCCATCATGCTTGGCTATTTTTTTTTTTTTTTTTGTATTTTAGTAGAGATGGGGTTTCTTCATGTTGGCCAGGCTGGTCTTGAACTGCTGACCTCAGGTGATCCACCCACCTTGGCCTCCCAAAATGCTAGGATTACAGGCAAGAGCCACTACAGATTATTTTTAATAGTAGCACTAATACCATCCCTACTACCCCTGGTACTATCATTACGCTACTGCAGCTGCTCATTCACCCAAGTGAGACAAATCTTCTGAAATACGGTTCAGTGGTGATGCTAAGGCTTCCGTGTTCCACTCAGCGTTTAGATGAAAGTTTACACACGAGAGATGGCAGGACTTGCCCAAGAAGCAGTCTGTGGCCATAACCGGGAGTAATGCTTCCTTGCTCAGTTGGGGACCTTTCCTGTGAAATTTATTTCTTGCATTATTTCCTTGCATTATTTAGTGTCATGCTCTAAATGTCCCAACTAATGAATGTCATCATTGACCACATAACTGAAATTGCTTTGTGTTGAAACTTTTTATGTTTACTATTATTCTGTGTTTCTTATTATTTGGCTCAGCAATAAGGTTTGGAATCTAATGGGTATGCTGATAATAATATGTTAATTTGAACACTTAACAGTTAAATTTAGGTAAATACATTACACCGTCCTCAAGTTCTTTTTACAAAAACGGCTATTGGTTTATAGGGTATAAAAGAAATAATATAATTTTGGGAGTTGGACAGATAGTGCTTCTAATTCCAGCCCTGACAATTAAAATCTTGGGCTACAGCTCCTGAACTCGGGTTTCTTTCTTATAAACTGGGCCTAGAAATATTTTTCTCACAGATTTATTGTAAGTGTTAAAAAAGGTAAAGGGAATAAAATTGCACAGACTTGAAAATGAATCTGGCATTTTAATTCATTGTACGACAAGTGTTACTTTTCCCTCTCTTTTAGGGGGCTTCTACAGACCACCACTGTTTCACAGGCATAACTTTCATTTAGATACAACCAAATGCCATCTGATTGAGTCTAAGACAAGGAAAAATAGATTGCCTTTACATGTGTAAATATGATTGAAATATAGTAGATTCAGTTTGGGTCTGATTCTGTGACTTCCAGATTTTGCACTTAAAATTTTGGGCTAATTGTGGAGATACAGATGTAGTCACAGGCAGTTTCCATGATATTTTTGGTGTGTTGGGGGTGGCTTGAACAAGCATTTCATGCACATGATTAAATAAATAATTATTTTGCTTTGCTTTAGATATTTACCAGGATTCCGCTGAGATAATGTATGTGCTCTTCTTTCTCACAGTATTCGCTTAGGGTCAAACCATATAGTATAATATTTATTTAGGGGGCCAAAAATACTTTCTCATTTAGGAAAGTGGAGGAAGTTGAATTCAGTTAGAAGTGTACAAGAGTCAAGAGACTAGGAATCTAGCTTGGCCTCCTCACTACCTAATTTTATAATCTCCTATAAGTAACTTTCTCTTGGTTTTCTTGTCTATAAAGTGTGCAGGGAAGAGAGGATTACTAAATTCTTTATATGTAGACGTTTTCAGATTAGCCCTAAAGTTTTTGCTTTTGTATTAAGTAATGGGATCATTTAGTTTCCTTATGCGTCCAATATAAACAGTCCCTTTTTAAACACATTATAAATATATATCATGCCCTGATACCACTTTTTAAATGTATATTCTCATAGTAACTGGCAAGATCAATCTTCCTAAATCAAATATTGTTTACTAAATAACCAGTCTTTAACTAGGCATTTTCAAAATCAACTGTTTCCTCATGAATCATTTCTCTAATTTAGAACACGAATAAGTTCCTCAATGATCCAGCAGGGGGTGCCATCGAAGAAGACTGGCAGGAGGTACTGTAGTGCCACTGTTTATTTTGGAAGTGATCTAGATACTTCTGTCACTTCTGCACATTCATTCCAAATCTAAGCTGTGTCTAAAATGTATTTTAATGACTATGTGAAAACTTAAATGTCATCTAGAATTGCATTTTTTAAATGAATTTGGCACAATCAGCCTTGTCTCTAAATAATTTGTAAAGAAGCATGTTAAGTGTAGCTATTTTAATACACTACCTTTTTTTTGGCTTCTCTCTCTCTCTCTCTCTCTCTCTCTGTCTCTCTCTCTCTCTCACACACACACATACACAACTAGGCTAATGTGGAGATTATAATTATAAAAGAACTTTCTTATATTCCATTAAGTTGAAGGCCACAGAATACAGAACCCAAAAATTCTTTTGAATATGACTTTATAATGCATTGGCTCTAAATATTAGTGATCTTACTGAATCCTGCAGTTTCCTATAATCATAATTGGTTTAGCAGAGTGTCTACATTGCTAATCTCTCTCATTTTTATGTTGATTAAACCTTTCCTAATGGATTTAGTACATACAGAGACACGAGAAAAGCCAAAGAAATTATACTGCCAGTGAATTTCAATGAACCATATATGAGACCAAGGAAGGTGACATGCAAACCCACATTATTAAAATTTGAAATTAATTCCCAACCTTCCTGAGGAGAATATCTACAGGTTAAGTGATAATGATGATAATAATAACAGATGTATATAGTGCCTTATGGCTTTCATGTAAATTGTCTCTCTGATTCCTCACCAAGACTCTGTGTGGTAAATGATGATCCCCATTTTTCAGCCAAGGAAACTGAAGCTCAGAGAGAAGTTAAGACAGTAGTTCAAGGCCGGGTGCAGTGGCTCACGCCTGTAATCCCAGCACTTTGGGAGGCTGACGCGGGAGGATCATGAGGTCAAGAGATCAAGACCATCCTGGCTAACATCGTGAAACCCCGTCTCTACTAAAAATAGAAAGCTGAGTACGGTGGCATGCTCCTGCAATCCCAGTTACTCGGGAGGCTGAGGCAAGAGAACCACTTGAATCCAGGAGGTGGAGGGTGCAGTGAGCCGAGCCATTGCACTCCAGCCTGGATGACAGAGCAAGACTCCATCTCAAAAAAATTAAAAAAAGGTCAAATTCACGCAAGTAATAAGTAGCACAGTTGAAACTTAAATTCAGATAGTCTGGATTGATTTCACACACTATTTTTGTACTCTTTCTACTTTAGCTCCCTGTCCAGTAGTATTCTTACATTTCAAATATAAAGAGGGAATTGGGACAGACAGTAAGCACATTGCCTAATGCAAAACCATTAGAAGCAGCTTACATTAGCAGAGAAGCTGCGGCAGTCACCCCTGGAAACGGCTGCCTGGTACCTTGCCATCCGCTCCTTCAGGGAGACCACTTCGTGGAGGTCTGACACAACCTCGCCCAGAGCGGCACTGTCTTCTGCAAATCCACTCTCAGGCTTATTAGGGCCAGCAATCGCTGAAAGCAAATGGAGCGTGCTTAGATATGTGTGTTAAGCTTTAAGAAGAAAACAACATCACCTTGTAAATGGTGAAACATTTAAAACATTTGAGCTCATAAAATGGACTGTAGCATTTCACAATATTTTCAATGTCTCATAGTCATCTCCTTCAAGCTTTCAAGCAAAGTTACGAAATGCGTGTATAACAGCATAAAGTTAGGTAAACAGCAAAAATTTATCCCCCCTCCTACTCTTGCAATTATTGTGATGAGAAATATTTAGTAACAGATATATAATAACAATTAACATTCCTCAAGAACTATGTTTTGAATTTATGCTAAATTCTATGTGCATTTTCAAATTTACTTTGCTAACAATCTTGTGAGGTAGGTAATATTATTTTCTAAAAATTTATATAAGAAAATGGAGAGTCACGGCTATTAAAAAACTTTCCAAGGATCACACCTTTAATAAGTGGCAGATTTGAATATGGTTTGACAAAATCTTTAACAAGTCTGACAGTTGCTCCTTTCTTCTCTCCTCACCCCTCAACCTTTAAGGAGATACGTCCAGTTAAAATATGCAAATACTGTTAATATTATAGGCTGTGGATTTTTTTTTCTTTTCTTCATATGGGGAATGTATTACATAAGAAAGAAGAAATAGTATCACTAGAAACAGCTTTGTCAGGCACCCATTTCCGAGAGCCTGATATTTACCCATGAAGCCATCTACTTGGCAAAAATGCAGGGTAGGAGGAATTATTTATCTGGAAACAGTGTAAAAGACTGATTGCACAATCACAGAATAGCAGTTGTTAGAAACAGAATGATCTTAGAGATCATCGAACCTAACCCAATCTAATCAACTCCTTTTAGGCAGAAGAAAACATATGCCTGACTGTTTCCTTATGTGAAAGGAACATAAAGACCCTCCATTGTTCTGTGATTCTCCAAGGCTATTTAGCTTATGTATGCCAGAACTGATCTCAAAACTAGTTTTTCTTATTTAATCTAGTGATTTTTGTTGTCATCCGTCTGCTTGATGGTTTACTATTCACTCTTAGATGGTTTTGATTCCAAAATCATTTCAAGGGTATGACATAGGTATGTATATATGTGCTTTTGTATATGAGTTTATGTATATGCATCACTCATTTATGCATCTCCTGCCTTCACTCTTAGGGCTGGTAGTTTCTGGGGCTTATGGGGTAGGGCTCTTTGTAGTACTTTTTATTTGGGTTGTTATAATTTAATCACTATCAACCAAGGCCCAAATAACCTCTAGTAAAAGACAGCCAAGCTGTTCCCTCCCTGCCCCGTTCTTCCTCTCTCCTCCCTCAACTCTCAGTCCTCACGTTGAACCATCTTATTGAATTGCTTGCTTTTTCTATTAGCGTCTTTAAGATTTATGTACACAATAGCAGTTGAGAACAACTTCTGTGGCCTAGAAAAAATTAAAAATCATTTTCATTTTGACACCTTCCTAGAGTATTTGGTTTTCCATAGAGACTTCTTATTCAGTAAACACTTTCATATATTGTAACTAAAATAGTAAAAATACTTAACATGCTACCAAAAAGATACAAAGCATAAAGGAATAAGACATTGTATTATATGAATGCTGATTGTACAACACTGATTATATTTACAACAAATGCCAGTTATCTTTGAAATTCACCTGTCATCCAAAACCTCATAGCCATACAAAAGACTCCTCCACTTGATTCTGATAAAAAGAGATTCCAACAAATCACTGAAAGTCTTTCACATGCCGAGGAAAAGCTCTTTATTTTTCTCTGTGGATTATCTATCTGCACAGATGAATTCAGTTTACATTCAACTGTGCTGTTCTTACTTTGATGTGAATGAATGTCATATAGATTTTATTGAACATAACACCCTAAAGTTCTTCCACATTAAAATATAAATTTTATTTTGTGTGTTATCCATAAAAGATGCCATTCTTTTGATAATCTTAATAGAAGTTCAGGCTTTTTTTTTGGCTAAAATTTACAAATAGTATTTAGCTTTCAAATATTTGATTTTTATCATTTTTTTAATGACAAAATGCCCAACATTATTTGTCAAAAAGAAATCAGTGGGCTGAGTATTGAGATATTTGGATTCCATTGCTCATGGCCTTTTTGGATGATCATAGAAAAGACTTTCATTCTTTTTTTCTCTCTCTCTGTCACTACTCCCACCGCCGCCCTGCTTTTCCCTTATCAGCCTATCAGTGACTGCATACTCAGATAGGGTCTCAGATTAGAAAAATTACCTTGAACCAATAGGCTGTATCCACATTATTTCCTAACCTTCTAAGTCAATATCTATCAATTTATTCATATGAAAAATGAGGTGATACTTCCTGCCCAGTCTACTATAATGCAGTGCGCCTGCAGCTGATAACACCTGATGTAAATTTTTAGGGTACGTAAGTCAGCCCCTTCTTTAGGGATGTGGGGGATAGAAGAGATGAACATGAGGTGCCTGGCCTCATAGTACTCAATTCCACATGTCTTAGAAGCAATTGAGTTTGGAGAGCAGTATAAATGAGCTGACGGTATTATTTAAAGAAAAAAGAAAGTTAGAGGAACAAATAAAGATGCTTATTGTCATACAACACTTGTGGAAAAATAGGGAATGATAAAACCATTAAGCGTGCAAGTCGGACAAGAAAGGAACAAAATAAAAGGCTAAAGTACTCTGTGTAAAGGAGGAAGGGAAAAATTAAATTTTCAAATGACTATTTCTGTTAGAAAGCATTATAAATATTAATATCACAAAATCATTTTGTTGGAGTTTCTGTCTCTGAGGATTAGAGGTAATTTATTGTACAGATGAGTAATCCAAAATCCGAAGAAGTTCAGTGAATTCTCCCAAATCTCGAGTTAATGGTATAGCTGGGCTTAGAATTCATTGCACACTAAACATAGAAAGCATGCATTTATTCACATATAAGAAAATAATTTATAATCCATTCAAAACATTCATTCTTTGTGTAGTAAAACACATCCCACAAAGCAGAAAAAACATATAGAGAAGCACTTTGAAAGAAAATAAAACAAAATAAATACAATCTATTATCATGGCAACTATTAGATAACAAGGATAATAATGTCTTTTATAAGAGTTTTGAGGTTCTTAGAAAAAAGATTTACATTTTAATTTTGATATAATATAAAAAGTCATGTACTATAGATAGATCCAACTTATGCCCATTTCTACATTCTTAAATCATGAGAAATTGTGTGACTAGAGATATTTTTTCTCAACCACCAAACATATGCTTTTCTTCTGCAGTTTTTAAAAACAAACTAAATCTATTAATAAAATTTGACCAGGTTACAGAAATTCATTATGCCTTTCTGAATTTTACTTTCAATGGAGAGTCTATGTTTAAAACATTTAAAAAACACACAATGGTACAATATTTATAAGCCAGAACACTCTTCCTTTCTTGAACGATTATTCACATGTCACATGTCTGCAGTCTGTAACAAAAGGATTGAATAGCGACCCCTCTGTGTTTCCTTGAAGTTGGTAAGATGTCAGAGACAGAAAACAGTGAGGAATAGTCAATGTAATATAAATTCTAGAATTTTCTCCTACTTTTATAATTTATATAATCAGAGAAAGAATTCTTATGGATATGCACAGATTAATATATAGAATTATTTCAAAAGGATCATTGATAGATTTGTTATGAACCATCCTAAACTAGCTGTACAGGAAATTTCAAATTTGCAAGTCAGTGATTTATAAAAATGATATGTTTTTACAACATTAAGAAGTGAAAAATCTAACCTCATTTCCTATTAAGCAATCATCCAACAATCTGAAATAAGTTATAAATATGATCCTAAAATTTTCGTAGAGTTACAATTTGGAAATAAAGGTCAATGGTTTGATACATAGAGCTAGGGTCAATGTGTTGCTCAAAAATACTGTCAGATCCTGAAAAAAAACTATGCAGAAGACACCTACTGTGTCTGGGTTCACAATCTTATTTTGTGATTGTCACAATCTTATTTGACACAATCTTTGTCACAATCTTATTTCTAAAGCCAGATAAATGTAAATATTTCCTATTACTTTCAAAATATGAGAGATACATTCTTAAATTGTAGTTGTGGAGAGTCGTATGGAAAAGATGACTGTGTAACAATACAATTGACAATATAGATGAGAGATATATTAATACTAGGTGCTTCAAAAGTGGCTAACACATTGCTTAAATTTGTGCGAGTCATCTCATTTATTTTCCCTTCTGCCTTCCCATTGTGGACAATGCAAAAGTCTGCAGAATAAAATGGAAAGCACTTTGAACTCCTTATTTCTTTCAGAGACTACTTGATAGTGTCTAGGTTGTGAGGCTGATATGATATGAACCATGTCTGATTTTTAGCAGAGACTTGGCCAACGTGAAATCAGAAGACAAGACATTTGCCAAAGATGAGAAAAGAACTAAAGATATTCAAGCATTTTGAAAAATTAAAATACACATTGAAGGCAGTAAATAGGATAATATATGCTACAGAAAAGAAAATCAATAGCATATTAGCAGCAATATGAAATATGGCAAAGATGGAAAACAGAGGAAAATCCATACTACAGGCATTTCAATGTGAGGATGGGGAAGTAGGTAGAAGAAATAAGATATACTAGAAGAAAAAAAATTGCCAAAAATGAAATTTGGGCATAGATTGAAAATATTTACCACAAGCCAGGAATAAAGTTAACTTAAACATACCAACATATTGGCAAATCCTGGTGAACATTTTAAGTTCATGGAAAAAGAAAAATTCTATAGTTATCCAGATACGTGAAGAGTATCTGTAATAAAGAAACAAAATTCAGATATCCTTAGATATTTCCTTTACAATGCCGAACACTAAAGGGAATTACAGAACCAGTTACTGGTTACTGAAATTTTAGTTTTGTGAACCAGGGTCTACATGGGTCCAAGTTGATAACCATGTGAGAAGACAACAAAAAGTCAAAAACAGACCATA